TTATAGGTATAATTTATAGGTATAAATATAAAGTAAATCATCAATTTTTTGCTGATTTTCAGGGATATCAATTATTTATATTATTTATATTCTTTATATACCTCTATAAGTATAAACCGAATGTTTTTGAATGCAGGTCAGATTCCGGAGTATTAAAACTGATTTGCTGATTTCTTGGAATTGATATGATAATTTCAAGAGTTACAGCAAAGAATGAGCGGGAAAATAAGCGAAATCGTATATGTGGTAGTGAATATTGGAATTAAAGAGGTTTAAAAGGGGTAAATTGGAATATCAATAGCTGATTTTTAGGGATATGATATATGTATCTGTATTATCTATATTTCAATGCATGTAAATTTGTAAAATAAAAGAATATTTACTGAAATTTAGGACCTGATTTTATGGAATCAAATAGTACTGTGATATTATACCCGATTATACCTTATACCTTATAGCCGATTTTGAATTTTGAATGAATGTAAATGAATTCTGGAAGTTTATTAGGGAGACACGTGGCATGTATAAAGTTTGACACATGGCAGTTTTACATTCAACCTATTTATTTATTAGAAAGGGAGATAAGAGTGGCCCCTCTATTATTTATAAATATAAAAATATTAAAGAAATATAAAAAAATACAAAAAATAAAATAAAAAAGGTAAAGCAGTATTTTCAAAAAAAAATTTGAAGTAAAACCACAAGAATTTTTTATTTTAGATTTTCAAAACTTTTTGGATCTCATCCACAGTTTTTTACAAACCACATAGATCAATTTTACATTTTTTTTAGAATGGAAAATTAAACAAAGATAGACTAGCCATTTCATATCTTAGAAAGACAAAGACATAATGAAACATTTTTATAAGAGCAATTTATTCAAAACTGAAACTTTAAGGAGTGAATGTCCATTGTTTTTACCAAACATAAGGACTAATTTGTTTTCTTTATTCTATAATTATTATCGTATATTCTTTATTGACTACTAGGTATATATCCGTGCAAAGTGGCGGTGGTAAATAATTTCATTCGGTGAATATTGTTCTTTCAAAAACATGTCATATTTCGAAGAACATGTAGCATGTACACATTATTATTGGTCGGGTATGCATTTGTTGGATTTATATACATAAGACATATACATAAACAACTTCATTTTTTTCTAGTTACAAAAAATAGCAATGTTATTTATTTATTAGTTTAATATAACATCCCTAACTTTTTGTAGGATATTGTATTTTTCACTTTTTCCTTACTAAAAACATAATAGTCATGAAATATACCAAATTATTGCAACGTAGTTTCAATCAGGTGAAGTTAGATAATTACCAAACAACCAACGACACCTTATTACAAACAACTTAAGTACATTGTTACTATGAAAATATATACACATATATAACACATGAGAATATACATTGTTATTACATGTTAAGCTCACTAAATTCACATCAATTTTGGTAGATCTAAATTTACAATCACAAATTAGCATTTGGTTCACCAAAATTAAATTAGCGCATGGCTAAACTAACATCGAAAATATTGGGTTCACTAATTCACATTGAAAATATTATGTTCACTAAATTTAAATTTGAGAGAGGGGTTCTAGTTTCGAAAATAGGTATTGTAAATGACAATCATCTAATGTGGAGTAATGTTCAAGCTTGTGCATTGTGTCGACTTAACTTTATTCAATTACTAACAATGACCAAATGAAACAATTTTTGTGACTTTTGAAAGTACGTCTCAAAAGGATTTGCAAACTCAATGCAACAAGGGGTAACCTAATCAATTTTACGAATGCATCTGATAGCCAATTTGAAAATTAACTACATAAGATTAATTATTACAAGTTCAATAACCTACGATGTACCCCCAAACATTCAAAACTTTCGATCGTCGACATAACCATTCACTAAAGTCAACCCAAACCTTCATTCTCAGATGACAAAATCGAATTCCAAGTATGACCTCCAAAATAGTCAATACTCATTCGATACCAAGATCCAAATTTTCAATCGTCGACATAGATAATTAAATCTCAAACCTTCGACTGTCCAATCCTTCAACCATTCGCTTATTATCTAACAAACTCGAAATTGATTCCAAACAACCACAGATACCATTTTTTGATTTCAACATCTATCTTCGAATCTATACCCAACTACTCGAAATCAAGCTTTTCCACAATCAAAAATAATCGCCATTTTTCTTTCGAACATTTGATGAACAAACACCAAAATCGAATCCTCTTGACCCCATACATTCGATTTCATTTCAAAATGATCATAGATAACAATTTTTGAATTCGAATATTAGGTTTCATTTCCGATCTAAAAACCAAATCGATATCAAAACAACATTCTGATACCAGTCAACAATGAACGGAAAAGTCACGATTTGTCAAAAATCCAAATCGAAATCACATTTGATTCCAATTTTGACTTTTGTTATTTTCGAATCAAAGAAGAAAGAACCGAGAATGAAGCACAAACGAAGACGATGTATCGAACGGAGTTTATGAACATTATCAGTTGGAATCAATTCTGATGAACAGTATTGGACAAGAGATTTGGGTATGAAATAATATGAAAGAATCGAAAATGATGGGCTCAAATCAATAACCAACGGATCGACATTGGATTGGGCTTCGAAATAGTTACATCAACAGTAACTTTCAAAATAATTGCCAAAAACAAAAAAAAATGATTTTGAAATTATGAGAATATGATTTTAATTTTTGAACAGATCTAAAATAAGTAATTGGATCAAAAATGGGGTTTGAACAGATTAGATCCAATGAGTCAAGACGATCAAAAATGAAAAACGCAAAGCACAAATCGAAATCATGAACGTTTGGAATCCATTTGTGAATTTGAGATACCTTTTTGACGATCCGAGTTCCATTTGCAACGAACAAATCAACTTTTGAAGATCTTGATTCCTTTGTTGGAACAATAAAATCACCAAATCGAACATTACACCACCCACGATGCGTGTTGTACAACTCGTTTTTCGTGTTCTTCAACGATCTAACACCATCTTCATAAGAACCATCAACACTTTTGGGTTTTTGAATTCAAATTCATTGCAACGATTGACGATTGTTGCTTTGGAAACTAAATTTGCTTCATGAATTTCAGTTTCACAACAACATTTGAAGATTTTTGTGAATAAACTCACTTGTTCTTACTTTTGATCTTCTTCTTCTTTTTCTTTCTCATCTTTTTGCATCTTGAAGATTTGAATTCAATAACAACTTCATTCTTGACAACTTCAACTTTGCAAGTTTGAATCAAATCTTTTGGAGTTTGATATTTGTGAATTTCTTAAATTGATGGTTTTCGATAAGGAATCATTCCTTCAAACGAATCACAAGAACACAAAATATCATCGGTTTGAACTCCAATCGAGCAAAAAACTTTTTCATCTTCATGAGAATCAACTTGAATCTTCTTATCATGAACTTCAAGAACATCACATTGAATTTCATAGTCTTGAACTTCAACAAACTTAAGAGCATGAAAGATCACTTGGGTTTTCAATAAGAGAAATGTATTTCTTATCAAACAAATCTCTTTCTTTTCCGTCCTTTTGATATTCACTCCAAGATACCATGTTCATGGAGATTTCAACCAAGCATCCAATCTTCGAAAGTGGTTGAAAAATCAATCTTCCTTGATTATCCTTCAAACCTACATAAGAAACCAACGTATCCCATGAAATCAACCCACCTTTCAACAATAATCCATAGAATTGATTTTCGTTGACTTTGTATTTGACATCTTCAATGATCACAATCCAAGAATCATAAGACAAGTACACCATCTTTGATCAATCGATATGAACTTGGGTTTTTCTAGAGAGAGAAAGTGATTTTGAATGGGTTTCTAGAGAGAGAAAGCAAAAATCACTTGAATTCTAGTGAAGAAAATTGAATTATGAATTGAATCAAGGTACAATGTGATTTCTAGAATCCAAAAACTCTCTAAAACACGAAGATCAAATAGCAATGAAGAATCACCAAATCAAAAATGTCATCATAGATCAATTCTTGAAATATTCAAGAACACCCGCTCTGATACCAATTGTAGTGGTGTTAATCATGATGACGAATGCGGAATATGAAATGATTTAGTGAATCATACAAGAATCATGAACACGAAGAACACAAAGAGTAAATAAATCCGAGTTTAGCTCTCATTAATCAAGTGAGTATTACAAAGTGGGTCTTGCAAATATTCTATCACTAGACTAATCACTCTAAAGTTCTTTTTTTACATCCATTAATATTCAAGTTCGACTTCAAGTTCTTTAACGATATCAGCCATTAATGGTCATTCTTTCGACATCTCTTTGCAACGACGTATGGGATGTCGACTTTGAAGCCATTGTTATCTCTGCAAATATTTGCACAATTCTGGAGGTGGAGGTGACTATGCAGGAAGAGATGAGTATATTATTTATAATAGAAAAAACTGAGTAACAGAGGGAGATATATGTGGTTAATTTGAAATATGAAATTAACCATCACCGAGGGGAATACGAGATTCTAAATCAATTTCTGGTCTTCTTTTCAGGTTGGGTTTTTCTTATTTTTGATAAGGATTAATTATTAATCGTATTGGGGAGACTAGCATTAAACGATTGTACTTAATGTTTTATTTTTTGTACTTCTTAAATTTCAAGAAATAAACAATAAACAATATGCTTAATAAAATAGAATAGATAGATTAACGTTAGTGTACCAAAATAGATTTGGAGAATGTTTTCCAACAGATTTGACTCCATCAGAAATAGATTGTCTTCTTCATTCCCCTTCTTCCTAACTTTTTTTCAACAATTTAGACCCCTCCCACCTTCAAAAAAGAAATATTGTGCAAATCTTGAAGATTCAACCTATATTGCAAGAAATATTTCACACCGATTTCTAATTTCTTTCTCATGATCCTCATTTCTTCATCTATGCACCAAAACACGGCAATTTCTTGAACACAAAAATGATGAACAACATGAAGCAATTACACAAACATCAACGGCGAGATGAAGAAATGCCTAATAATCAAACTCCACCATACTCACCCAGATCGCTTAGACATCCATCGTCTTCAAGATCTCTCCATAGATCCGTAAATTACATCTTCAGAGAACAACGATTTCTCTTCATCATTATAGGAATCGGGATCGGTTCCACTTTCTTCATCTTCCAACCGTCGTTATCCACCATAACCACTACCACAACGAATACCATTAAATCCCGCGAATTTCCCTCAATGCCCAGATCAATTTCAATCTCCCACCGTGAAAGCACCACCTCTCACCGCCGCCCTGTTAATCATGGGGAAACCGAAAGGGTTCCTGTAAGTGTTAGTCGGAGGAGGATAAGGACGGTGGTGACCGGTGGAGTAGGGTTTGTGGGTAGTCATTTGGTAGATAAATTGATGGCTAGAGGTGATGAAGTGATTGTGGTTGATAATTTTTTTACTGGTAGGAAAGAAAATGTGGTGCATTATTTAGAAAACCCTAGATTTGAATTGATTAGACATGATGTTGTTGAACCCATTTTATTGGAGGTTGATCAAATCTATCATTTAGCTTGCCCTGCTTCTCCTGTTCATTACAAGTATAATCCTGTCAAAACCATCATATCCTTTTCTTAATCTTTCTCTATTAAACAAATTTTCTTGAAACAAGAAAAAAAACGATCAAACCCATTATCATATCCACAAAACTAATGTTCTATGCATTAAGTTGTCAATTATGTGTTTGTAATGGACTTTTGTAATCCTTTTTGTTTTTGGTTGAGATCCTTAAACATGATACAAACAAGAGATTACCTTTGACTTTTGAGGTTCAACATAGAACTTTTCGGATTTTTTGATTTGGGTTTTATTCTTACAAATTCGACACTATATTTGTTTATGTTTGAACTCATTTCTAAGTTTAACTTTGGAAGTCAAAGCATGCATTGTTCTTGATTAGAATGGGTATTACTTTATACTAAAAGTAACTTTTTTCATGGATTTATGCCTTGTTAGACTTATTGTGGTTTCCGTTGAAGTTAAGTTTAAAGTATTTGAATTGTCTCCTTAACTCGTACGATTACAAGACAAATGTTATGGGCACCCTAAACATGCTTGGACTTGCCAAAAGAGTCAAGGCAAGGTTCTTGATTACAAGCACTAGTGAGGTTTATGGAGACCCTCTTGAGCATCCTCAAAAGGAAACGTATTGGGGACATGTAAATCCAATAGGTGGACTTTTCGTTTTATTATCTTTTTATGTTATTTTTCCATTTTGATTCATTACAATGTTCATGATTATGTAATGTAGGTGTTAGAAGTTGCTATGATGAAGGGAAAAGAACGGCTGAAACATTAACAATGGATTATCATCGAAATGAAGGTGTTGAGGTGATGTTGCATACTGATGATTTTTCACCCTTTGTTTATTTAATTTTCCATCATTTTTGTCTTTTCGACATAAAACTTATCCAAACAACACTTAGGTGTTTTTAATTTTCCAATTAATAGATTAACTTGAGACCATTTTTACTTAATGCAGAAAGAAATGATTTGATAGAGAAAGTCTCCCAAATATGACTTTCCCATTAGGTCCTAACTTTTTACAATTTTGTCATTATTTTTTTTCTACCGTTCCACCAAATGTCTCGTCATTTTCCAAAATATTTTGTAAACATCATTTATCTATACATCTTTAGTTAAGCCTGCTTAGAGTAGTGAAACCTATGCTTTATGCTAGAAAATTCACATTTTGCAGGTACGGATTGCACGAATTTTTAACACATATGGTCCTCGAATGTGTCTAGAAGATGGACGTGTCGTTAGCAACTTTGTTTCACAGGTGAAAAAACATTATACAAGTTGTCATAATTAAAAAAGACTTTTTAGTAAGACAACATCCTTTGTAGGCCATTCGCAAACAACCCATGACTGTTTATGGTGATGGAAAGCAAACACGAAGCTTTCAATACGTTTCAGATTTGGTACGCTATTTCTTCATACAAACACATACATTTTTTTGTAAGAACATTTTTAAAGTTTATATTCATACAACTTTTTTGGTTCCTGTTTAATTATACAGTTGCTTTGATTTCAGGTTGATGGACTGATGGCTCTCATGGAAGGTGACCATGTTGGACCTTTCAACTTGGGAAATCCAGGAGAGTTCACCATGTTAGAGCTTGCTCAGGTTTGTATCGTTTCATCATCATTCCATCATGGAATGAATGCAAAATCATAATATAACCCATTTTTATTCAAAAAAATATATATTTTTATTATTTAGTAAATGATAAATTTTAACTAAATTATATATATATATATATATATATATATATATATATATATATATATATATAATATATATATATATATATATTATAATAGCATTAAAAGTAATAAATATTTTACTTACATATATATACTATAAAAATATGTATGATATATCATTTCGTTCCTCCAACTTAACCAAACATGACTAGGAGGGCTAGCCCATTTTGGTCTCTTGCTTTACTCTTTAGACTTTTTATATTTTAGGTGGTGAAAGAAACTATTGATGCAAATGCTTCGATTGAATTCAAAGAGAACACTGCTGATGATCCTCAAAAAAGAAAACCCGATATTAGCAAAGCAAAAGAGCTACTAAATTGGGAGCCCAAAGTAACACTCAGAGAGGGTCTACCACTAATGGCATCAGATTTCATGTATCGAATCTTGAAAGAAATAGAAGGCGATGATGACAAATAAGAAAAGGAAGACCAGAAACCAGCATGTATATATTCAGAAACCATGTATCTATACAGTTTCTTTTTAGTTGTGATATACATCTAGCTACATGATTCTTTTAGGAATGTCGCCATTCTTCCTCTTGATCTGAGGTTGGAGTAGGCGTTAGTTTTTTTTATTATAGATCTTTTTTTTTTACTCAAATTAACCCCTTTGTATAAATTGCACTAATTTATATAATTTTTATTTGAAGAAACATACTTTTATAATTAATAGTTAGAAGTTGATGTTATAAGTTTATAACAAAAAGAGCCAAAATGAAGAAAAGTAGCAAGGCATCTAATTCTCATTTATCGGAATGAAGGGGAAAGTAGCTTTGTTTCTCCTCTCTTTTGTAGGGTGAAAGACTGAAAGTGTTTTTATATTCCGTGTGTTTGGCATAACATGAATGAGAATTTGTTACTTCTCTCTTTTGGAATACAATTCCTTCCACGCTTTATTCCTCTACCTAAAAGATTGAATTTTGTTAGACTTATAAGTGCATGGAATCTGTGCGAGTTTATTATCACAACTACGTAATTAGAAAAAATCTAGTTTATGATGAGTCATACTCGAATTTATAATTAAGGAGCTGCATCGAAAATTTATCGAGTTTTATGAGTCTTATGTATAGATCTATGTTCTAATATTTTTATTCCAAACTCAAATTAAACTTACTTTTATAACACATATTTCTTCTCCGAGCTATCCCAATCAAGCTTGTTTTGTAAAACATAACATATAATTAACATGATAGATATTTACATATTATTCAAACTCACAAACATTTGAGTTTATCTTGACTCGCTTAATGCAGATCGTACAACATAATCATCACAATATGGTACAATTGAATGATACCCTCACCCACATCATTTTGTCATGTGAAAAAGATGAATACTACCTAACCTTAACCAAATTGAACCACTAGCTAGACCTAACCAGATTTCTTAGGTCACTTGGTTTCTTTTTGACAAGATTGCTTGAACTTGAGTCAATCCTTGTAAAGATATGAAAACGCAAGACCCCATTAGGCTCGATCTTTGTGTGTCTATGTGATGGTTAATTGTCAAAATACAACATACTTTCACTATTTTATTGATGAATAAATGTAACTTATTTTTTCAACTATTTAATATAATAAAGTATCATTTTAAAATTTAAACCATCGAAAATGTAACAAACTTGTATTCTTTTTACCTTTAATGTAATGCTTAACATAAAACACTAGAAATGTTACTTTTTTACATCGAATGAATAAAATTAAATAGAGAGAAATTTCTTTATAAATATGAATCTTTTTGAAGAAAACAAAAAGATGTTTTTTTTACTGTGGTTTCATTTTGTTCCTCACATTTAAGTCATGTTTATTTACATCCTTTAATTAACTCATGTGAGGGCTTTTGATATTTTCTTTATTTCTTTCCTTCTCTATATTATAGCTAATTTAGATATTTATAATGTCCTAAGGTAGTGTTTGGTTCGTTAGAATCTTTTGAAGTTAGAAGGAATTGAAATACAATTCCAACATTTTTCTATGTTTGATTCATCATTAAAAAGAATTGGATTCCTAAAAAGTCCAACTTTCCTTTTTCCTTCTATCGAAGGAAAGTAAATTTCATCCAAAAGATGAACAAACTAAAATCTTTTTAACATTGCATATGAAACCTCTTTGTCACTACCACTCACCCCTCCGAATATAAAAAGAAGGTGGTGTGAGGTTGTTTACGGTTGGTATGTAGATGTAGAGGTCGATGGTGAGGTGAATGTGTTTTTAGATTTCAATAAAAGATGATTTAAGATCGATAACAATAAAAAAAAATAATAATAATAAAAATAATAATAATATATATGGATGACTTTTTACATCGACTAGGATTGAAACTAAAGTTTGTAGGAAGACATTTAACCCCTTCATTTATTCTTAGACCAATTATTCATAAAAGCTAGTACACTAATGAAAGGTGTTTCATATATTCTGTACTTCTCAAGCTTCAATTCACCACCCATATTATGATGGATTCCATTGTTCTTGAAGAACCTTCCTCCTCCATCACCTATGGTGGCAGCGGCCGAGCAATAGACCGTCACAACCCCATCATTAGAGATGAAAAAAGACTCGGTCAAGGACGTATCTTTCCTTCTAGCCCCGCCTCCACCACCGTGGACAACCACCACCAAAACCTGAAACCAGATGCGGAAGCCGGTGATCAGAAAAGAAAGAGTATTGCGTTTGCTTATGGTGATGGTGATTCTCTCAGCCCAGCAAGTTCTTCAAGGTGCTTGTTGAGTGACAGACCCACGTTTAATTTCTCATCGGACTTTCACGATGTTCTGCCGCCACCACCATCACCGCCACTTGAACCACTCAAATTTCAACACGGAAAGTCTGTGAAGAAAGATGATCATTTACTCTGCTCTCCTTCACCTACACAACAACCACCACCGTCGCCGCCTCCATATGAAGCTCTCAGCTTTCTTAATCTTGATGATGATTCACCGTCCTCTTCTCCTCCTAAACCACCGCTGTCTCCGCTCCTGCCACCTCATGAATCGCTAAAGCTTCATAATCGCAAAGCTTCAGACAAGAAACACCATGATCAACCGACACCCTATTCCGTCCATAAACAATCTTCACCGCCGCCACCCCCTTCCTCTTCCGATCAGGTAGTTGTCTTGCAGGTCTCACTGCACTGCAGGGGTTGCGAAAGGAAAATGAAGAAACATATCTCCAAAATCGAAGGTATTATACTTATTATTGATAAAATATAACGACAACATCTTTTTTTTTTTTTTTCTTAAAGAAAATTTCATATATTTCAGGGGTAACTTCGTTCAAAATTGAATTTGCGGCCAAGAAGGTGACGGTGGTCGGAGATGTGACGCCGCTGGCAGTTCTGACCAGCGTGCTAAAGGTCAAAAACGCGAAACTGTTGACTCCAGTAACAATATCATCATCTTCTCCAATTGAGCCTTCACACCTCACGAAATAGAATATATTCTGATAGAATTTTTGTTTGGAATAAATATTCTACACCATCCTTTATGAGTTATGTCGCAATATTTTTCTATTTTACGTCACCTGCTGTTAACGTTTATCATGTAAAGTATTGGGTCGGTTACCTCGGTTTTAAGACGTATTATTTTCAGTTTTAAGGACGTTAATTTTAGAATTTGGTAAAATATTTCACCTTAATAAATAATAATATAAGGATAAGGAAAATGATAACGAATTTTTTTAGGACAAACCTTCGATTCGTTATTAATCATTTGTTTTTTATTTTGACTTCTTTTGTCTCGGTACATATAATATATTTGTTAATTTGTTTAAAAATGTCGAGACTAAATTTTCAAGTTGACTTAAAAGATTTTTGTGTTATTGTGTAGACCAGAACACAAATTGAGAGTTAAAGCAAAGACTTATAGCACTTTTTATATGTTTTGGCAGTTTTGCATAGAGTGGGAATGAATATATACCCCTTTGTTCGGAAAAAAAATGGAACATCATAAATTATATTATACTATATATTAATTAGAAAGTCTTATGAAAAGTATATTTTTTTAGAGTTTTGCCACAAATCGGTTTTTAATTTACAGAAACAGTTATTATGTTTAAAATTTCCATATTTTGGCTGCTTTGGCTATATAGTATATAGAGTCGTTATGTTTAAAATTTTCGTTAGCTTTGGCTGCTTTGGCTATATAGTCATTATGTTTAAAATTTTCATATGTTGTAGCTTTGCCTATATAGAGTCATTATATAGAGTCGTTATGTTTAAAATTTATGTTGTCAACTTTGGCTATATAGTATATTATACTATATAGTCATTATAATTATATAGTATATTATACTATATAATACTTACAATTTTTTAATTTATAAAAAATATCATTGTAAGTTTTTATTACAAAAATAGTCCTTATGTTAAAATTTTCATATGTTGGTAGCTTTGTCCTTGTGTAAAAGATAAATAACAAAAATTGTTTCCGTAATTTATAGAAAAGGTATTGTGTATTTTTTTTTTTACAAAAAGTTTAAAATAATTACACAAGTAATTACATCTATACTATATATTAACTGGAAAGTCCATAAACATTACATTTTTCCACTTTAAGAGTTTTGCTATAGATCTTTTGGATATTGGCACACTTAGTCCCTATTATTTTGTAAGTAATAGAAAAGGTTTCTATCTGGTTTTTTTTTTACAAAAACAGTCATTATGTTTAAGATTTTTGTATGTTGCAGCTTTGGCCCCTATATAGCAAAAAGATAAATAAAAATCATTCCCGTAATTTACAGAAAAAATCATTGTGTATTTTTTTTACAGAAACAATTCATATATTTAAAAAAAATTACAAAGGGCTTACATCTATTAATAATAATAATAATAATAATAAAACACAACTGTTCCACCGCCCCTCTCCCCCCCTCCTGAGCGGCCAAACCGTACACATGCAAACCCTTACTTGTGTCCCCCATTGAGCGAAGACAACGCAATTGCTAGTTATCTTTAAAAAACAATCATATTTTATAAAAAGAATTTTCATAAAGTCGGTTATATTTCAAGAGATGTATCAGTATGCATCAAAGCCAATGGGTAGGCATGGGTCTCGTGGAAAGCCCCATGATGCTAAGGTGGAGCCTCACCACATGTACACCGCCCCTATAGTGTGAGTGTGCGGCCCCATGACCACCTTCACTCTCATTTACGACTAGTTGACATTCTTCTTTTTCTCATCTTTATTCTTCAATTGTTTTTTCTTGCACTTCTTTACAATAGTGAACACCACATCCTTCTCATATGGACTACATGAGATGGGTGTGATGTGGTGATTATTGGTGATGAGTTGGATTCTATGATGTTGGAGCATAATCAAAAAATGAATGAAATATTTAATTACAATGAAATGAAAAAAAATCAAATTTTTATTGCCACCAAAGAATGAAGAATGTAATTTGTTGTGTGATTTATTTTCATTCCATGAGTTTATGAAATTAAATAATATATAAGTACAAATTGTTTTTATTCGTATAATCTTCGGTAATATTAATATTTTTATCAAACATCATGTAAATAACTTTTTATCTTTTAAAAATAAATAAATATTTTTATCATAACTATATTTTAAAATTTTATGGTATCTAGCTTTTATATTTTATAACTTTTTAGATAATAGAGAAATCTTTTTTAACTATTTATAAAATATAAAACATCTATTTTGACTCAAATTAATTACTCTAATATGTAATTATATTTCACGATATATCTATTATATACAAAATTATTATTATAAAGAGGAAAATCTTCAAAAATGATCAATGTGGTTTCCAAAAAATCAAGTTTAGTCCTTAACTTTTTTGTCTTCAAAGATTATCCATGTTGTTTCAAAACTTTTAATGGATGGTCCTTTTGGGTCACGTCATCACATTGCAGTCGTTAACCGCCCTCACGTGCATAGCATGTGAGGGTTCTTTCATCATTTCACTTAAGCTCCCCTCAAACGATCTCAACAGATCTATTCTCCAAAGAGATGAGTCTTACGAATTCATTCGAAGATTTATGCTCCTCCATATCAAAGTTTTGCATCTCGAAATTCCTCAAGGATTCACCTCTTTTGTTCAAGCTTCTCTACAAATCTTTTCTGTATATCTACTTCAACAATCCTCAAAAGTTCTCTTACTCACTAAAAAACTCTTCATATATGATCTCTTTAACTATTTCCTTTTTATTCTCTGAAAAGGACGGTTTTGTGAAGAACGCAAACAAGAAAATGAAAAGCATGCCAAGTTCACTGTATCCTACTAAAAGCTTGAGCAAAAGAAAACCAAAAAAGTTATGGTGACCTAAAAACCTGGTTATATTCAATTTAATTAGTTGGAGCTCATTCACCCTGTGTAACACTCATTGTTCAGGTAAATTTCTATTTTTGACCCAAAGTGAAAATTTGTTGCAAATTGGCCCCCATGACTCGTTAATGAAGGTCGCGCCTCATGCCAGTATTATGGGTGTACTTACAAGTACGCAGGGCGTACATAGAAAATGAACAAACCCTAATTTTTAGGGTTTGAACTCTATTTGAGCATCATTAACTTCTCAAGACTTTTTCCCTCATTACCTCCATTTTCCAATTCGTCCCTAGCAAACCCTAATCCTTTGTGTGAGCCTTTTTGAGCTTGAGAGTGCATTTTTAGTGTTCTTAAATTATAGGTGCATTTTATGCACCTATTTTACAAGTTTATTTCCGTCATTTCATAGCATTCTACTTCATAATTCTTGTGTTTAGTTAATCAATTAGGCAATTGCATATTTTATTAAGAATGCTTGGTACTTCACTATTTTTGATTTATTTTGTAGGCATTATGGAGCATGGAGCATGGAACTTGGAGCTTGGAGCATGGATCATGGAGCATGAGTATGGAACTTGGAGCTTGGAGCATGGAGCATGGAGCTTTGGAGCATGAAGAGAAGATGGACCGGTCATGCCATGGAAGAAGTCATAAAGACATAACCCGAGTACTTGTTGCATTATTAGCAAAAAGCATGGGCCATGCTAAAAACACATGGTCATGCCAAAAACACATGGGCAAAAGGCATGACCATGCTAAAAACGCATGGTCTTATGGCAAGCACGTAATCACTTAATAAAACAAGGGAGTCACCATTTTTCACAGACAGACGGTTTTTGGAGCTTTCTCTGGCGATTTTGGGAGATTTTTGGGAATTCTTGAAGGCTACTAATCATTGCAAACACTTTTTATTTCCATTTGTAAGCATTAGACATTTTCAATTCCATCTTTCTTTTTGATTGATTTGTTCTTAGCCATGTGTGGCTAAGAAACCCTAATTTCTAGTTCTTGTTGAAAACATGTTGATTGCTTGACTTGAAGCATATGATTTGATGTTTGATTTGTGATTCTATTCTAGTGATTATGTTTTTGCTTAAACTAGAACCCTTGAATTTGATTTGTGTTTGATTGGCGACTTTCATGAATTGAATTTTTGCATAGTTAATTAACTTTTAGGGCACCTAATTGTTCTATTAAGTTAATAATTGGTAACAAGCAATAAGTTTTCTTATTGTAAAACATATATAACATGTTTTCACATTTCCGAGCATATGAGAAGAAATGAACATTGTTGGAAGCTTGTACAAAACTTAATGCAGTTTTTCAATACAATCTAAGAGCGTGTTTAGGTTGAATTAGTAAAGCTAGGTCTAGTCAAAGAGCGTATTTTGGTTAGATAATTTGGCAACCGAGAGGTATTAGAGCGTGTTAATATCTTTCAGTACCAACTTAGAATAGCAATCATGAATTACATCAAGTCATAATCAAGTTGAACAACAACATTGAGAACTAGAACTAGAACCATTCAATCAAATTGTTTACAAGTTTATTTCATTTTCTGCATGTTTTTAAAGTAGATTGTTATTTTATTATTTTTCTTTTGCAAACAAAACCCCCTTTTGTGATCAAAGTACCTTGTGCAAAGAGGTATAGACTTTTATCTCGTGTCTCTGTGGTTCGACCCTACTTGCATTGTACTACTTTTTAGTGCATTAAAGCAGTGTATTTGGAGTCCATTGTACCCCTATTATTTGTTGGGTTTGACACACCTAACAAATTGGCGCCGTTGCCGGGGACACGATGTTACTAATTGTGTATTCCAAGATATTTTCGTATAAGTACACCATTACCAATTGACACGGAGATAGAGAAGACTGCAAAGAGGTTACGGAAGCAAGCCAAGCTTCGTAAGAGGCAACCGGGTTCCGGGAATTCTGCATCATCTACCCCTCCGGTCATCAACATTTGGGAGGACATACCCCTCTCAAGTGTGTCAAAAACTGAAACAAAAATCCTCTCACTCTCACCTCAACCATCCTCATCCAAAAGTACCACTCCACCCTCTTCACCTACTCATAACATCCCATAGTCTACACCCGCAGAACCTCAATTCCTACTCATACCATGGGAGATAACCGTGGAGGGAATTAAGGTCCTCCAAATCCGCCACCCGAAAAAACTCTTCACCAATGGGCGAGGCAAGAGGTTACTCAACAACCTCTTTGCATTACATATCCGGCAGCCACAAACCTTGAACTAAAATATGG